TGATGTAATATCGTATTTATCTGAATAAAGCTAAGTGCCGGGGACCTAAGTGGTTACCTTAATATTAAAAAAAAAAAAAAAGAAGAATATATTAATATATCCAGATATAGTCAATTTTGCTACTTAGATTTGCTCTGTGCTAGATAGGAACTAACCTGTTTGAGTATATTACCAAGTTGTACCTATTGTTATATGCTAGGTATTAGAGAAGTTTGCACTTAATTGATTGTGAGTAGATATTTTTTGTTGTCACATTAAAGTCTTTTAGAGTAATAAGAAGAATATTTTGTATTTGTACTTGCTGTAGCCATTGGAATATAGTAGTTTGTACTTGTAATCAGAGTTGTGTATTATTGCTGAAAAGATATAAAAAAATAATTTAGAATTTGAAGTCATGTTTAAAGAAGAAATCAACTAAAATTGTATATTCTGCATATAGACTAATATTGTAGATGTGTGAAGCTAGGCTATTTTGGATTATAAGTGCAGTTTCTATTCTTGAGCTATTAGTACATGACCACAAGTAGATGTAGTGCTAGATTTTAAGTCATTTGTAAAGGATTGTCTTATTGGAGAATTTTGTTTCTATAATGCTGATTATGTCTAAGTTTTGCTGAAGGCAGTATTGTTCCCAGACTTCTTTTTTGGTAGTTGTATTAAAGCCTTGAATGTTGTGTGTATATATAAAAAGTGTGAGTTGGTAAAGTGGAGTGTATGGAGGTTAGAGATTGCATTTGTTCTGTGTGTAGAGTGGCTGCTAGATAGGTATAGCAAATTATTTATTAGAGTATTTATTTGTATTTATTGATGAGGTTTACTATAAAATCCTAGAAGACATATTCCAAAAGAACCCAATACCAACAAAGTTAGTCTGCATTAGTTATAATGTTGGCCAATTTAGTCTGTATTATATTTTTTTGAGAAAATAATTTTTAGCATTTTGTGGTAGAATCCCATTAGTGTGGAGTTGTCCTCTAGAAGTGTATATGCTTTAGTAGGAGTGGTTGTTAGATCCATTATAAAATAAGTACTGTCAGTTGTAGTGGTTATTACTTCTAGTTGGGTGTTGCTTTCTATTAGGTCTATTTCTGAAGCAAGTGTGAAGCTTTGAACTGTGTTAGGAGACCAGAGTGATGTTTGGGTATTGATATTGTCAAATATGTTTCATTTGAGAGCAGGTAGTAGTAGAAGTTGTAATAGAGAATCTGGTATTATTTGAATTTTGTAAAACTCTTTAGTCGGGGTAATATTCTGTTGTTTCTGGATTGGGAATGAGACTATAATTTCATATCTAGATAGAGTTCCAATAATCTTCTCTATATTGGAAAGAATGTTAGGTAAAATACTTGTATTTTTTGAAGGATTTGTATTTTCTGTATCTGAGGCATTATTGATACTAATTTGAATCCAGTCTAAGAAGGGTTGTATAAAGTAGTAATATTTTTAGAGGAATTTGACAATATTTGTGAGTTGTTGGGGTGTTGTAATTGGGATAGTGATGTTGGAGTCTTTGGTAATTTGGGTAGCTAGTAGGAGGTTAAGTTTGTTGGTAGGATTCATTTGCATAATCTTAATTGGAAGAGGAAATCTAATTCTGTACTTTGAAAAAACCTGTTTGATAAACTCTTTTGCTACTATATTATTTGTAATGGAATATGCAAATTTAGTATTGTTTTAATTTTATCTAGGTTTGTGAGAAGTGGAGATTTGAGTACAAAATAATTATTAGGTAGCAGTTTGAATATTAGTACTCTCTGAGTATTGCTACAACTTCTGTGAGTGGAACTTAAAATGTTGTCTAGTTATATAAGAAGAGCTTACAAACTTTAGGATTTAGTTCATAATAGGTAGTAAGTAGGGGCATTTTGGGTAGTGGTAGTTCAAAATATACATTTGTGATTTGGGTTACTGTACAGAAATCAGCAAGCTTTCTCTTGTATATAGTGAGGTGCTGGAGTGCCGATTTGTAAGAAATTGGAAAAAGTTGATGTAGGCTAGCTAGAAGTCTACTGTAGTAGGCAGGAAGTTTGGAAAGCTTGGCAAAGTATGATAGAGGGAGTTCTAAAAACTTAAAAACTCTTCTTAGTGCAATTACTATTGCTTTGATATAGGAGCATTGTGTAATAGATAGTTTAAAGAGGTGTATGTTGTAGATTTCTTGTAGGTTAGGTTAGGTTAGGGTTAGTTTAGGGTTAGCTTAGGTGCATGATATGTTTATCAAATGGTTGTCAATCACTGAGTTAACTGTTCTTAAAGTGTCCCGCTTAGGGTGGGTGGCATGGCTAAAAAATTTTGCATGCCAGATGTCATGCCTTTAAACCATGTGGTAAATATATTTATTTTGATTGGTTAATTATAATACACATGTTGCATTACCATTCGGAATATTCCGGAATCTCACTCTAATTTTCTTTCAAAATTTGCTTTCTATTCTGAATATTTCGATATATATATAAATGGCATGCCTATAGACTATTTGGGTTTTGGGCATGCCATTGGCATGCTACTATTGGCATGCCATGTTGGCATGCCTGTGACCTCTGTGCCACCCACCCTAGTCCCGCTACTTTTTATAGTCCTCTTAAGCTCTAACCAGGACATAAGCAAAGTTTTTAGATTTGATGATATTTGTTTTCCGACTATCACGTGACGGTGAAATTGACCCTACTCCCTGATGTTGACAGAATTTACCGATTAATATAAAGAAAAAGAATTGTTATCATAAGCACATTCTAAATATTAAATGCCAGCAAAGTTTAAGCTTTCGCAATGACCACACGTAAAACACGAATTACTATATATATATATGAGTACTAAAATCATTTTCAACAATAACAATAATCAGGATGAGCTTTTTATAACTTGAGCATTATAATTTTTTGTATGCTACGTTTTGGTTCAAATTTAATAATTTTTGTTTGCTTTATTTTGAAAATTCTTGATAATTAAGGTTCCTTTCTTCCTTGAATGGTGCATGTGATATTTAGCTTTACACCTACTTGTTTCAATACAGTCGAACCTCCATAATTGCACCCTCTATAATTGCACCCATATATAAATTCTCTCTAAATGGACGCCTTGGCCTGGTCCCAAATATATAAAAACATAGTAAAAATACCCTCTATAAATGCACACCCTCTCTAAATGAACATTTTTAAAAATTTGTCCTATGGTCCCGAGGGGGTGCAATTATAGAGGTTCGACTGTAAAAGTATAATCCAATATTATTCTATATATAAAAATTCAGATTACATTGAAGAGTTGGAAATTTATAGTAAATTACTGTAGGCACTTGTTATACCAATTTTTTTAATCAATTAAAGCTTATTGTTCCTTCGAATAACGCAGGTTTTTAACATCTGATCAAGAGTCCACGTTTTCGAAAATTAATGAAGAAAAAACCCATTTATCGTATCTGGAACGTAGTTTTATGGATGCAAAAACAAAAAGGAGGACTCATGACAATATTCGATAATATTAAATAAATTGATAACCTATATGCGGATAAAATACATAAAAAGGCAAACATGGTTGCTTGAATTATTACCAAATTGCTAAAAAATGCATTTATGACGAAACAAGACTAACAGAAATAATTTTCATTAAAAAAGCACTAATGACCTATAAACTTCAATAATTTATTAAGATAAAAAAAATGTTTGACTACAGTATATAATTAACACAAATTTTACTGGTAGTGAGTCAATTATCGCGTTGTTTTAAGGGTGTTGATCGTGCTGAATTACCTTTTTAACTTATAAAAAATATCGAAAAGTCATGGTTGAAGTATTGGTATGGATAATAAATTCCATGTCGAACACACTTTATTATCTGAAAATGTCTGATAAGGCTACGTATACCCTGGAAAATACATTAGATTTAATATACTTGACTATTTGTTGAATGTTTATTCTTTTTATGTTTGGAATAATTCATATTCCGCCATTGAAAATCTATTATGTGGAATTCTAATTCTTATTCATATGAACTATGTGCACAATAGCAGTTGTTATCTTGATTGAAAATAGCTTTCATGAAAAGATCATAACCCACAATGAAAGTAGTAAGCAACTATTGTTGAAATTTTGAATTCTACACCAATTAAACACTAGAACACAGGAATAATATCAATAAATTACGCTATCTTGTTTTATAAACTCAAAATGGAGGATTGAACAATACCAATTTTCAATGAAAAAATAAACTATCGTTGCATTTCATATAACCATTTGATTTAATCCACTCAATAGGATTATGTACTCAAAGAATTTCGATAGTATTTTTAACAATGCTCTATTTTAAGGTTTATCTCGGTTAGATTAGAAAGATTTTAAATAATTTAAAAGAGAATATTTTATAAACAAGTAGCTATGCTATATGTTCGAGCATTCATTAGCAGAGTTATAAAAAATAAAATAAAATAAATAAATTTTAGTAGAAGCCTCGATAAAATCAATGCCAAATAAATATCTCTTTACTTGCCTCGCAATATTAATTTTCTTCATACTTGTCATCACAAATCTTAACCCAACAAAACACAAACCCTTCTTTTTGTAATTCATTCTTTAATTTCTCTACATTAATCATCATATTTTTATCATTTTCATCTTCCCATAAACCAACAATAGCACCACCTGATCCCGTAAATTTGGCAGCAAACCCAAATTTCCTAGCCAATTCAATCATTTTCAAATTATTTTTTCCAAGTGTTCTATTCCCATATATTTCTTGCCTCAAATTAAAATTCATATTCATTAACTTGGCTAATTTTACACGTTTAGTTGCTTGCTGGATTGAAGAATCATGCAAAAGGTAATAAGTTTGTTCAGCAAAGGATGCAAATTGGATCATGGCATCAGCTAACTAAATTATATAAATATTTAGACGATTACTGATATTAAGACTGTAGATTTTACATTAATATGTAATGAAGGATACCTTTTTATCCCCTTCTTCAAATCTTTTTCTCACATCATTATGAATTTTTCCTAAAATCCGAATCATATTATAAGCAATATAAAAAATGATAATAATTATTCACAAAGCATAAAAAAACAAACCAGAATCACTAGGATTCCCTTCATAAGCAATCCAAAATCCTTTAGGTATTAATTCACTTGGTACTCTTATGTATCTTCCAATTCCACCATTCCTCTCCATAAATTCTTTTTCAAAATCCATATACATAACGCCTCCGAAACTTTGTATAACTCTATCTTGTAGTCCCGCACTAATTCCTAATTCAATAAGCTCTGCTTCAAGTATCAATTTTGCTTGCATTGCTAGTGAAATGTCATCATTTCCAATCCTATAAAATTTCATCAATGCTTTCCATAAAGCAGTGATTATAGCAGAAGATCCTGATAGACCAACTTGTCGTGGTATATTTGTTTCAAAACAAAGTTTAAAGCCTTGTTTATGAAGTGAAAGATTATTATTTTTGCAATATATAAAGAATACTTTGCAAGCTGCTTGGAATAATCTATTAGCATTCGTATAACCTTCTGTGAATGATAATATTGATAAAGATTCAATGGATTGGAATAAAAATGTAGTGGTCATCATAGAATGAAAAAATTCGATTTTGGAATATTCTTGTGCATGAGTGAATTTGTTGGGAATTAGTGTAATTTCTGCAAAAAAATTAGAAATTAGCAAAGAAATTGTTTTCCCATAGAAACCATCTGATGGATTGCCCATTAAACCTATACGAGCATATGAATGTGTTGTTATTGATGTTGATTGATGACTCAATGGAGGATCTTTTTGGATAATTATAGTATCGACAAAAAATGATTTAAAGAAAGACAAGTATTCTTTTAGAGTAAGAAATGGATCTTTCCATTTGAAAAGAGATTTGTATGAAATCATGATCATTTTGGTGTTTAGACTTTTATTCATCATGAATTGAATAAATTTTTCTACACAATCGAGAGAATCATTGGCATTTATCGTTTCTTTATTTTTTAATGTATATTCCTCAATTAAATACAATGCACTGGAATGAAACATATATGCGATCAGGTTTGCTGTACTGATGCTCCCATCTTGATAAAGTTCAGTAGTTGTATCAAGCAGATTTGTTGAAATCATGCTAGTTTTATTTTGCTTTGATAATTCGTCGTCATTGAAAAATATAAGCTTGACAAAATCATTATCAAATAGTAGCTCCTTTAGAGATGTGTTGTTAAAAGAATCGAATAATAATTCTGCTTGCACAACAATAATAGAGTTTACAAAACCCTTGACACGTTTAACAAGCTCAATATCTACAAACATATCTTGGCTTTTATTTGCAAATAATAATTAGTATTCAATGATTTTGAAAAGTTGTTAGCGTTGTCGTTATAAATACATTTAAAAAAAAATTTATAAATTACATATTACCAATTTTCAAATAATGAATTTCCGTTATTAATAATATTATATCTTGGAATATTATTCGAACTTGCCCATCTTAAGTAACTTGAA